TTGTAAAATCTGCAGAATAATTTTCTTTAACGTTGTTACTGTGTGAACATTCTGTTTCAATCTGTCCCTATTCTTGAATTACTATAGCTGCAATGTCACCGTCTCTACCTCCTGTTTCATCAATAGATCCTTCAAAATCTGTGTCACTCACAATGGAATCTCGCAGTGAGTTCTCAAAGTTTTCATATATGGAGACTGAGGAAGAATCATCTGGTGATGCATGTTGACCTGTATTAGGGTCAGAATTAATTCTTTAAATGTCACACTTCAAGAATGGGGTAATTAATCATATAACTACACACAAGCCCCTTTGAGGCTAAGTTAAAATAAAGTATTTTGTAAGAGTGGTAGTTACTAAATGATAGTGTGGCATTATGTAATATTTAAGAAATTTTATTTCAGTTCATATCAGCAGTAAAACATATATGAAGAATAACTGCAACGGTACATGAGTGAGTCAAGCCCTCATACTCAACCACGACACTTGTTGGAAACAAAACACACTCACTGTCCACAGACCAGAAAAGCCCTGCGGGGGGGAGTCGTTTCTGGGGTGGTGCAGGGGGAATGTTTACTATAAGGTGGACTAGAGGGCTGCTGTTTGTGGGAAGTGTGACACGTCAGAGTTTAAGGCTACTACACACAGACTGAAAACATCAAGCAGTTAAAGAGTAGCATGTAGTGAGTGCACCTCTAATGTGTTCTGTGGGTGTTGTGATAATATTAAAGCTGAACCCATTAGAACAGATGAAAGCCTGTTGTTTGTTCAGTGGTTGTGGATGGGTCATCACTCACCACGATATCTTGCGCATGCGCGTATATCGAATTCCTAGCAGGGCTTATCTCCTGGTCTGTGGACTGTATGTACTTCACACATTCCTAACATGTATCACCTAAAGTTTCCTGGACAAGGTTAGTATATTATCCTTTGATAACAAATAGTGATTATAATAGCAGCAAATGTAATATACATGGGAAGAACAATAAATATTGCTGCCATTATGTAGGATTATCTTTGACAAAACACAAAAAAATTTTCTGCGTCACTTAGATCTAGTTGTGACATTTCCAAGTACAGCATTCTGAAGGTGATCTGTTTATAGCAAACCCATTACAACTTACACTCCTGTTTGACCTACAAGTAACGTGAAGGCTAGAATGATTATTTTGAACTATCAGTAAAATATGCAACTGAAAATAACAAAAATGACAAATGCTTAACACATCTTAAAATTATATAACATTCCTGATATCAATGAAACAGTTATAAAATATTTTGGAAGTAATGAACTGAATGAAATTGTTAAACTAAAAAGATGTCACTGTCACCGTTTTGCTTGTTTGAAGAATGAATTTTATACAAATAACACAACACGAGATGTGAGAAGATTTTATTGCATTTAGTCGCAGAGAAACTTCACGTCATATGTCATGAGATGCTCATCATTTTATTACACAAGAATGTGACTGCCCTTTGCCTCAAATGCACAATTACTATTCCCATCCTGGATAATATTCCTGTATAAAGCAAATGTGCACGAGTAGGTATTCATTTGCATTCTGACAGCAGAATAAGTCTTGCACGCATCACAGGAATATGGAAGGTCCCCATTGTGGATGTGTTGATGATTCTTCAGTGTAGTTCAAAGTGTGAATGATTTATTACACATCAGAGGAATGTGGCCTTTCTCCACTGTGCGTGCACTGATGTTTCTTCAGATTCCTCTGTTGAATGAATGATTTGTTACAGACATCACAGGAATATGGACACTCACTATGTATATGGTGATGTATCTTCAAACTACTTCTATGGCTGAAAGACTTATTACACACATCACAGGAATATGGAAGGTCCCCACTGTGTATGTGTTGATGATTCTTCAGTGTAGTTCAAAGTGTGAATGATTTATTACAGACATCACAGGAATATGGAAGGTCCCCACTGTGTATGTGTTGATGATTCTTCAGTGTAGTTCAAAGTGTGAATGATTTATTACAGACATCACAGGAATATGGACGGTCCCCATTGTAAATTTATAAGTTCAAGGTCCAATAAGAGAAAATATTTATATTCCTCAATTCGAAGTGTCCCTGTGTGTGCACGCGCGCAAGTTAACACTCTTGTTCTTTTTGCAACAAAGGTTTAATCCCGTAATGATTTATTTTAAAATTTTATTGATTATATAATATATATTATAAATTAATTCGCTACACTACGTATCCTCCATACGCATTCCAAGATGGATAGGTGCATCGGAGACGCACAATAAATCAGCAATTCACGTCTTTTGCGACCTCTCAAAGAGAGTGTATATCGCCGTGTTACACATTCGATCAACCTCTGATAACAAATGCTCCGTTCATCTGGTGTGCAGCGAAAATAGGTTAGCACCTATAAAGAAAGAAACTCTCAAGGCCTGATTTGCTCGCGGCACTAATAGGCTCGCGTCTCCTTCACTAATTCTGCCAAGAAACTGGATCCGATATTATCAAAGCCATTGTATGGAGTGACTACGGTGGATAAGAAGTGATCCGAACCGTTGGAAAACTTTCATCTGCAATCGAGTTACAGAAATTTTGAGCTACACCACGCCTAGTCAAATGGGACATTGCCCAGGAATGAATAATCCTGCAGATTACCTTTCTCGAGGTCTTCAGCCAGACGGCTTGTGTTCATCAGACTCATGGCGGCATGGACCTGACTGGCTAGTTACTATTCCAGCCACATCACTACCCGAAGCAAGGAAGACAGCCCCCCAAGTTCTTATGGTCACTACACCAGAACCTCTTCTCCGAGTTTCACGTTTCATTTCATACCGGAAATTACTTCATATCACAGCTTGGGTTCTTTCGACATTTGAAAAAGTTGGTACTTCCCCAGGGACATGGCATAATTACCCGGTATATTAGGACATCTCAGTCAAATTTAATTTTGCAATTTTTTAAATATCACCCGTAGGTCAGAAATCAGTAAGAAAATTCTCAGTGTGCTGCCTTCATAATGAAGTTTTGTAAATGATGTTCATGAAGTAAGAACATTTAATCTTCCCGTGATACCGTAAAGACGGTTTCGGAACTCGAAACATGTCGCCACAAGTGGATTTATTTAATACAAGACGCAAGGTGAAACTGCTGTGTCTTGATGGATGGTAATATTTTAGATAAAATTAAACGTCTGTAAAATAATTAATTTCAATAAGACTTCTTGAGCAGAAAACGAAGAGAAATAATTTTTCCTTCTTTGCTGCAAAATGATTTCTTTTTTTTAATTTTCTTTTATAGATCCTACATCAATTCCCAGTTTTCTACATTATTTTCGTAAGGTACTTAATTAAAATTATGTGTTAGTCGTGGTTGTAATCAACTGCAAACTACAGGCAAATCTCGGTCTACGAACGTTAGCTATAACGAACGTCACAAATCATTCAAAATTCCTTAAAGCCGCCAATAGATAGAGTTCCTCATAAAACGAAATGCCAAACGTATAGTGAACATAATTGTAAAATGTAAATAAAGAAACTTTTAAAAATGTATTTATTACAATAATTATCAGAAAATTATTATATGATAATTAGTACATGCTTTTAATGCTTTAAAATGGCTGCTAACGTACGAGGTGCGATCGGAAAGTTTCAAGACTGAGTCAATAGCGGACGAACCGGATGTAGTACGAGCTTCTGCCGCTAGGGGGTGCGGCCTACATTCATAGTGAATCAGTGTGCCAGCCGGCATCATCGAATTAGCATTTGTTTCTTAGTTACAGGCGTTTTGGTAGTGCATTACACCGACCCTCCTGCGATTTCGGAATGGCGGATTTTCATGAACAAAGAGTGTGCATCAAATTTTGCCAAAGACTCGCCAAAACGGCTACGGAAACCTATGAAATGCTAAAGCAAGCATTTGGGGAAATACTTCGAAATGGGTCGTGCACAAACTTTTGTGAGGCATTC